GATCTATGAAGTAACAGACTTCCAAGGACCAGGAAGGAAAGGCAAGTCAACCAAGCTGGAGGTGGGAGCTAGAATCCTTTGGTCCCTCCCATCTAGGCACACCTTCTTTAGGGCTGGCTCATTTCCACCCTCTTATAGCCCCACCAGCCCTCCTCTACTTCCTCTCTTCTGTCCCAGACTTCAAGCAATCACCTCCTTTGCCTGTGTCTTAAACACAGTGACCAGTGGAGAGGGTGGGAAGGAGGGTAGAATCTATTCCTGCCCCCTCAGCTCAAGTGGTAGCTTGCTAGTCCAACACAAGGAGTTAGGTATTTGGTTTCCTACCAGTCTGGAGGCATTCAATGCTTAGACCTCTATGTCTGGGTTTATGTTTCTTCTGCTTGGCCTGTACTGGGAGGGGCCCAAGGCCTGCTGGGGAAAGTCCTGGGCAGCAGTACTTGGTTGAGCTTCTTAGACAGTCCTCCCCAGGGAGGAATGAGCAAAAGCTGAGGGGAGGAGAAGCCAGGGTATATCCCCCAAGGAAATGGGTCTTGTGACAGGAAATGAAGTAGAAACAATCTTTCAGGTTCTGTCTCTCATGGGCCTTGTGTTTGCCAGAGCAGATGACAGCCTGATAACCTAGGAATCATTCTCTCTCCCTCTTTGCTCCCAACCCTGGTACACATAGATCTATCACAGGAGAAGACAGTTCCGGAAAGGGTGGGAGGATCAGATGCAGTCCTCCTATTCTCACCCTCCACCTGCCTGCTTTCTCTGCATCCACCAAAATGTGTGTGCACATACATATGGATGAAGGTAGAGGAGAACAATTTATGACAGGGTAAGCGAATGACAGGGGCAAAAGCTAGGAGCGGAAGGGAGCCCAGGCAGGAGGAGGCAGGGCACAGGAGGCACAGGATGTGGTCTGTGAGAGAATGAGCTGCACTTCTCCTTTGTGAGAGTCACCCCTCCTCCCATCTCAGGAGTCATCCTACTATCAGGCACCAGGAACAAGAGTCCAAACGATATCAGGGACCTATGCCATAGGAAACATGCATGGAAAACACTGGTTCAGAAAGAGATGAGAAAGCAGGAGGAGAAGGTTCAAAATGATTCTGGCAGCAAAGTGGTGAAGCTTTTAATCTGGGTTGGAGGGCAAGGAGGTCTAGAGGCAGGGTATGGGCAACACCGTGCTTTTGTCACTTCCCCTTTCCACCCCAAGCTATAAAGCATCCTGCTTGAGGAGAGGGGACAGAGAAGACAGGTCTGGATAAGATAGACCCCCAACTGGCCTAGAACCTGGGCCCTGAAAGTTGTGAGAATTCCTGCATGGAGAGCAGGGCAGAAAAGGGTTCTCAGAAAGCTGGGATTTTCCCACTTCATCACACAAGCTCACTCACAGGAGAACTGGCTGCACCCTGAGCCAAATGCTGGGGAAGGAGAGTGGGAGGGGGAGAGCTGGGAAGATCAGGGAGTTCTTGGTAGTTTTCCCCAGGAGTCCACTCACAGACACAGAGCGCTAAGGAAGTAAAGAATAACATTTGGTCTTTGTCAAAAAACAAGCAAGGGGGAGGGGAAAGAGAACAGACATCGAGTGTCGCACAGCTGCTGAGGTCAATCTGGAGCTTGGGGGTTAGGCAGTTGGGGGAGACAGAGAGGGTGGCTCCTGGGGCTCACCCATTCCCTGAACTCACTCACTGCATAGTGGGCAAGTTAGTTTATCCAGCAATCCAAGAGAAGTGGAGAGGTTTAAACTGGTTCTCCCCGGGACAATGAGGAAAGAGAGTCTGTCTGTGTCCACTTGAGTGTTTGCAGGTGAGCAGGCACCTGCTAGGGGAGAAATGCAGTCCCAACACAGTGTCAACAGAAGGACACTCTCATCCAGCCCCAAGTCCCACCCTGGGCTAGGCTGGGGTGGGGCTTCGGGAATGCAGTTCTCCTCCCTTCTTCCAACCCCTACACACACACACACACATACACACACACAGCTGCCAGCCCAAGGTCATAGGTTGTCTCCAGAGCAGCTGAGGCCTGACTCACCTGTCACAGTAAAGTCCCCCAAACCCCACCATCAACAGGGTGGAGAAAGCATGATTAGAGGGATCCTGTGGGTGGGGAGTGGAAGGATAGTCAGTCTCTAGGTTTCCAGCACTCCTAGCAAAGAGATAAGATTTCCTTCCTTTTAGCAATTGCCTCAAGTCTCTTCCCCTGGGGAAAGCAGAAACAAACAGAAATGGGAATTCTAAGGTCCCTATGAGGTCACAGGCTCCATAGTGACCTCACACACAACAGAAGGGGGAGTCTCAGATAAGGGGGTCAGGAATAATAGGTGGAAGAGTTGGGGAACAGAAGGGAGGTGGAAGATTTGCTTCTTTCCCATAGGCTGGCTGGGCAAAGAGTGGAGGGCCAGCGACCTTAGAGGGCGGGACTATTGGCAAAGTAAGCAGAAACATTGGGTTGTTAGGGACAAATTCATGGGAAGGAGGTTCTAAGTCTGTTCGGATCTCGGTGAAACGGGGGAAGAATTGCACACGAAGTGGAGTAAGAGAAAGGAGTCATTAGGAGGGTCCATGGAGGACTCCTTTATGGAACTATCAGAACTGAGGTTGAAGAAGCCATGCAAATAAGCTAACCAGGTAAGAGGCGGGACCGTTCTACAAGTGCGCCAGTATGCAAATAAAGAAAAGCAAAGGGCGGGGTGGGGGGGCTCGGCCCGGAACGCTGGGCTTTCCGAGCAAACGAGAAATGCGTTCATTGTCTAGTAGTTCCAAAGGTGGGGAGGGGGTGCTAGCAGGCTTATGCAAATCAGCAGGGTCTAGAACGCAGACCTCCAGGTGAAGGGAGAGTGCTAGATTCCCCAGCCCCGGGAGAAGCCAGCAAGGGGGCGGGGCTATGCAAATGAGGGTCCCTGCTGGGCTCACAGCCGGGTGCACTCACCAGCCTGAGTGATGTCTGACAGGTCGTAGCTGCGGGCCGCGCCCCGGGGGAAGTGCTTCAAGCGCCGGTTAGACAGGTTCAGGGTCCCAGTAGCCACGGCCTCTTCGAGGGCCCGCTCTGCACTGCGGCTCCCAGGGAGACCTGGAGACCCTGGAACAGAGGTCGTGGCTGCCGCCTCCTCACCTCCCGCGGCGAGTGAGGCCGCTACCGCCGTCGCCATCCGCTCCTGGCGGCTACCGCTGCCTGACTGACGGGACCGGCCGTCCCTCCCCCCTCTTCCCTCCTTGGAGCCGCCGTAGTGACTTCAAGGGGGAGGAAGTGGGACCAGAGATCCGGTGGACCAATCGCGGTCCCTAGATGCATCGGAAGTGGCTAATCAGAACCCGCCGTGGGGGTGGAGACTTTGGCGCTGGAGTGAGGCTAGAGAAGGGAGGAGGACTAGACTGGAACTCTCGCCAACGGCTGGCGCTTCAGCCTAGCTGGTCCCGTGCAGCTGCATCCAATCACACCGCTTAGGGCTGGAGATGGAGCCAATCATGTTGAACCAGGAGGCGTGGACGCCGGCGCTCGACTAAAAGGAATAATAGGAACCGAGAGGCCGCAAGCCCCGGTCTTCTTCTAATGAAGACCAATCGAAAGCCAGATACAGGCGAGTGACTGTCAAGAAGGCCAAATAGGTTCTCTAGAGGGAACCTAGTCCGACCTCTTCTCTGAGGGACGGCTCTGCTTACCAATAGCACGGCTGAGAAAGCGGTTCCTTCGCTAAGGAGGCGGGTGAGCTAAAACGAACTGAGGTGCAAAATGTGAGCGCTGTGCACAGGTTAGGCTGAGAGCATTTCAGGGCCGGAGTAGTGTGCGTGAGCTGTATGTGTTAAGAAGCGAGCCAGCTTTGAGGGCGCGTGGTAGACCAGGGAGTGATAGGCGGCGCCGAGACCAGTGTGCAAGGGCTCGTTGCGGCCGGGAACAACTGTGAAGGCCATTCGGCTGCGGAGACTGACTCCCTGCGACCGTCTGTGGGGAACCCCGGCGGGCGGCTTCCCAGAGCCTGAAGATGCCCAGCTCAACTCCTGGAGGGAGGGTTCCGGGAGCCCCGGGAAGCCTCCAGAGCTCCCGCGCGGCCTGCCAGCCCAGCCAGGGGAGCGCGCCGAGGAAGAAATTGTGATGACAAGACGGGGTTTAGGCAAGAAGGAACCGTCTCTCATCTAGAAGTCTTCCATTTTACAAATGTGGAAACTGAGGCGGAGGGAAGTGGATGAGTTGGCAGGAGCAAACAGCAAGGTGCTGACAGCTTGCACTAGAGCGCAGGCTTCCCACTGCATCAGCTTTTACAGTGGGCTTTTCTGTTCTCACCCTCTTTGCCGCCTGGGGTGAAGTAGAGTAAATAAAGGGGACCCAAAAATGAGAGGAAGCTGATTATGCTTTTTCTGTTTGCTGAGCGATCTAACATCCTTTTAGATGCTTTGGGGACCTAAGTAGTCACCTTAGTACGTTAATAGTTGCCTACCCATTCATAAGTCACATCTCATATGTTGACATTCCTAAACCTTTCTTGAATTACTAACATTTCATCTTAGGGAACCCAAGCCAGCTGTTTAATGGTCACAGTGAGTAAGGGGGTTTGATTGGTTGGGTGAGAGGCTGTTAACCCAGTAAACCAACAAGTCTGTAACACTGAGCAGCTCAGGGCTGCCCGACCAGGACTGGATTCCTTTGAGCCCCTGGAAGAGCCAACAATTCTGTAATACTGAGCAGCTCAGGGCTGCCCAACCAGGACTGGATTCCTTTGAGCCCCTAGAAGAGCCAGCTACTACTTGGATTTATTGATGCAGATCTACCCTTACCTGGACAGGCACAACCCTAACTCCTGTCTCATAAATATTACTCTTCCCCTCCCACATAAGTCTTAGACTGGGAGAGATATCCTAAGCTTTCAAAGTAAATCAAACCCTTTCTTCCACCATAATAGGTTGCTCTTCATACATGCAATGTTGTTCCTGACCCAGGAAATCATTCAGCTTTTGGATGTGTATTTTTCATGAGACTGGAAAGAATCTGTGCTGAATTGCTCCACTTTCATCTGGTGCATGCTTTTGTGAGATAGATGGTCATTAAAGGTCACCTTTCCCCTCACCTGACAAACTGATTTTATACCTTTTTTTTTTTTTTTTGGAGTTTATACTCTTGAGCTACAAATTCCACTGGAGGCCTCCTGAGATACGAAGAATTCACCAGTGTTTCTCTACAGAAGTTAGTGCTAAAAGGGCCTCAAGTGGAAAAACCTCATACTATCTTCTAAAAGTAAAGGCCTCATGTACCAATTCACACTGTATTTCTCCTGTAAAATGCATAGCCCATGAGCCATTGGGTGGCTAGAGCTGAGCTAGAACCAAGGAGCTAAGACAGAAAATCCCCACCAAGCTTTGGGAAAATAGGTCACAGTGGCTAAGCAGTGAGGTCACAGAGAGGTTTATCTGCCCCAGACTCCACAGGGGAGGGGCCTAGGAGGCAGAGGGGCCCCAGAGGTCCCCCAAGCCCAGGCTGGGGACATGGTGTGGGAAAGGCAACAGGGACTGGGCCCAAGACAGGTGCCAAGGGGCCTGGAGACATGAGGACAGAAACAGGGAGGAGGCAGTCAAGATGGTGAGAAGGGGAGACAGAAGCTGCAAAAATTCACCTGTGAGGATGGGTGGAGGGGAGTAAGGTGAGCAAGGGAAGGGCAAGAGGAGAGCAGCAAGAGATCTGGGGAAGGATTACTTGGAGAAGTTGGACCAAGGAACAGGGCAGACAGGGAGGAGTGAGCCATGGATCTAAAGAGAAAGATGGGAGGATGTGACAGCACAGAGCTGGAAGATAGAGCTATGAGCCCCCAAGATAGTGGTTAATGAAAGACAGGCAGAGAGAATGGAGAAAAAGAGGCATGATCCTCATAGAACCCTGTGCTCTTCTTTCTTCTCTTGGGTAGGTAAAGAGGAGCTGCCCTTCATGTGGCCCAGAGCCTGGGGGTGAAGAGAAGAAGGGTAGAGGGAACCCTATTTCTGTCCAATTGTTCCCCCCAGAGCTGGTGAGTCCTTGAGGAGGGGGAGGTATTAAGAATAAAGGACTGGGGGCCAGGCCACTGAAGGGCCCCCAATGACCCCCACTTTCTCCTTCCTGCCCCCCCAGGTGGAACATATCATCTCATTTCTCCCAGTCAGAGATGTAGTTGCCCTAGGCCAGACCTGCCACTACTTCCACGAAGTGTGCGATGCTGAGGGCGTTTGGAGACGCATCTGTCGCAAGCTCAGTCCTCGCCTACGAGAGCAGGGTTCTGGGGTCCGGCCCTGGAAGAGAGCCGCCATTCTTAACTGTACACCTTCCCCAGAACCTCTACTTCTCTTTGCATTTGTCCTACCTTATTCTGTGATCCCTCCTGCTCCATAAAGTTGCCTGATGACCTCAGCAATCCCAGTCAACCTTCCAGGGCCCCTTTCTCTGAAAGAAACTCGTTAGATTCAAACATGCCATTGCATACTTCAAGTCTCTAGAGCCACCTTCTGATAGATGTCCCACCCAGAGCCCCCATTACTAGCATCTCCTTCCATATTCAAACTTTCCTCCAAATCTTACTCTAGAGACATCTTTCACTCTATTTCCCTCCTGTAAAACAGGGTTTCTCAACCTTGTCCCTACTGAGGTTTTGGACCAAATAATTTTTTGAAGTGGGGGACTATCCTGTGCATTATAGAATGTTTAGCAGTATCCCTGTGCTCTACCCACTAGGTGCCAGTAACACCTCCCTCAGTTGTGACAAACAAAGTCCCCTGAGGGATAAATTATCCCCCAGATTGATAAACATGCTCTAAACCCCCTTCCCTTCCCTGGGAGCCCCTATCCACTTCATCTGCTATCAAGGGAGATCTGGATAGCAGATACAGAGCTGGGGTGAGGGAGGGTTACTGGTCTTTCTGAGAAATTCATTTTTTTACATGTTTTTCTTTATTGATTTTGAGAGAGGGAGGGAGAGGGAGATAGAAACATTGATGAGAGAGAACATCGACTGGCCACCTCCTGCATGCTCCGCACTGGGGATCTGGCCCACAACCTGGGCATGTGCCATGACTGGGAATCGAATCGGCGACCTCTTGGTATATGGGTTGATGCTCAACCACTGAGCCACATTGGCCGGGCTTGAGTCATTCTTTTTCACTGCTCTTTCTTCACTCCTCTGCTCCTTCTTTTTTGTATTTATTATATTTACCTTTTTTTTTGGTACATGCCCCTAGCGGGAATCAAACCTAGGACTCTCTGGTCCACAGGCTGACACTCCAACCGCTGAGCCAAACCGGCTAGGGCTATTATATTTACCTTGATGTCTCTAGATGTCTAAGAAGTGCTTACTTAGAAGCATGTTTATGGCCCTGGACTGAGGTGGGCCAGAAAACTAACATTCAGACATCGGGTATAATTAGGAATATTCTTTAAGCACTCCATATGTCCTCTGGAAGGGGTCTGTTTCCCAGTCCTGGGGATGGAGAGGAGCTAAATAGCAAGGTATCTGAGAAATCTTGTTTGCCCAAGATCTGATTTATCTTCCTTGTATCATCCCAACCCCTTGAACCTTTCATATCCTTCTCTTCTCTAGACACAAAAGGCCTATATTTCCAGGCATTTGGGGGCCGCCGCCGCTGTCTCAGCAAGAGTGTAGCCCCTCAGCTAGCCCATGGCTACCGCCGTTTCTTGCCCACCAAGGATCACATCTTTATTCTTGACTATTCCGGAACCCTCTTTTTCCTCAAAAATGCCCTGGTCTCCTCCACCCTTGGCCAGATCCAGTGGAAGCGAGCCTGCCGCTATGTTGTATTATGTCGAGGAGCCAAGGATGTGAGTAGCAGAACTCTGGAAGCTAAGAACCCACCCAATCTCCAGGGACCCAGGGCTCACACCAGTCTTGAGTGTTCTCCTCAGGGACAGCTGCCTTCCCATACCAGGAACTGCAGTCCTCATTTCTTAGCTCTGTACCCAAGTATCTCATCTCCCACCCTAGCCTCATCCCACTCCAAGCCCTAGATCCCAGACACCTTTGTAATTTTCTACAGTTTGCCTCAGACCCAAGATGTGACACAGTTTACCGTAAATACCTCTATGTATTGGCCACTCGGGAGCAGCTAGAAGTGGTAGGCACAACCGGCAGCCGGGTCTGTGACTGTGTGGAGGTCTATCTGCAGTCCAGTGGACAGCGTGTCTTCAAAATGACCTTCCACCACTCCATGAGTTTCAAACAGATTGTGCTGGTTGGTCAGGAGACTCAGCGGGCTCTACTCCTCCTCACAGGTGTGACTTCAAGCAGTGTTTTACAGATTGTTTTTTGAAAATTCTTCAAGACCTGCTATAGGGGATGGGGCAGGCGGCCTCACACAGGGTTCTGCATGCCATCTCAAACCAAATAGCTCTGCTTTTGTCTGTCTCCTAATCTTAAGATTCTGCATAGTTTATATGTGTAAAGGGCCCTTTAAATTCTAATCTCCCCAACCTCCATGCCAGGCACCTCACTTTATACCCCAAATTGCCCTACTTTCTCAATGTTTTCTATACTTGACCACACCCCAAGCTTGAGACCTTCTGGACTTCATAATGCTATACAAGACCCTGAATCCCCAGACATCATTCCCAACATTCAGACTGGATTCTACTGAATCTACCTACCAGGTTTTCTCTCCGTTTATTTCTCACACCAAAGAGGGCTTCCTGATTTATTTTTGGTGGTAAGGGGCTGAAATCTGGGAAACTTGAGATCAATCTTTTCTTATTTCATCTCTACCCTTTTTCTTCTAACCCCACTCTAGGGTAGTAATGTTTCATTCTGTATAGCTTAGGGGGTGTATTGGGAAGTTAATGTGGATATTGGAGGATCCCATACCCCACATAATTATCTGCTCCTCCAACCTCCAGAGGAAGGGAAGATCTACTCTTTGGTGGTAAATGAAACTCAGCTGGACCAACCACGCTCCTACACAGTTCAGCTGGCTCTGAGGAAGGTGTCCCGTTGCCTGCCTCACCTGCGTGTGGCCTGCATGGCATCCAACCAGAGCAGTACTCTATACATTACGAGTAAGAACCACCTCCCTTTTTCTCCAGACCCCTGCCTTGGACAGATCTTCCAAATACCCACTAGAGCATCCTAGGAAAAAGATGTTTAGAATCCCAGACATCATAGCTGGTGCATTTCTAGCGGGTACAAAACTCCCTAGATCTTGTAGTTTTCATCCCAGGTAGGGCCTTATCCCTAGGAAATGGGTGCCCAAAGCTGCTGAGCTGAGGGCACCCGACCCCCCAGATGAGGGGGGAGTATATTTTGAGGTGCATACCCCAGGGGTGTATCGTGATCTCTTTGGGACCCTTCAAGCCTTTGACCCCCTGGACCAGCAGATGCCACTTGCTCTCTCACTGCCTGCCAAGGTAGGATCCTGGAGGAATGGGGCAGATCATAATGGGAGGGGCTTTAGGAGTTGAAAGGTTCCGAAGGTCTGAAATATGAGCAGAAATCAAATGACTAATCAGGGAGGGACAGGGGACCCAGAGAGAGGGGTGACATAGAGGGTAAGGCCAAAAGAATAGTAGGTTGTGGTTGGGAGGTTTTGGATTTCAGAATTGCTCTGGTGAGAACTAAATGCCCACCTCCCCTTTTCTTTCTTACCCTCTAGATCCTATTCTGTGCTCTTGGCTACAATCACCTTGGCTTGGTGGATGAATTTGGCCGAATCTTTATGCAGGGAAATAACAGATATGGGCAGCTGGGAACAGGGGACAAAATGGACCGAGGGGAACCGACACAGGTGAGCCTCTTTCCCAGCAGTTCTCATCCTGACTCTCTTCCTCTAATTCCCTGACCCCTGAATCTCTCCATTTCTCTAATTTCCATAGAATCTACTTTCTACTCCCTAGGAGGTCAAGCAAACCAGTATATAATGCCCATCATATTTTGCATGTCTTATTCAGGGTTGACACTATGAAGTTCTGTGCCATGCATGCTGTAAGTGTAATAGGAATTTAGTGAAGTAGGTAGACCTGAGTGGGCTAGAGTAAAGAAAAGGTGAGCTATGAGTAGGGCCTAGTGGTTAGAAAGGATTCTGGTGGGGACAGGGAAAGGCATCTGTGTAATGTGGATGAGGACAAGGCTTGCAAATACTGGGACAGTGAAAAGGCTGGCCTGACTAAAGGAGAGAAGAGGGTATTTTGTAAATTGGTAGATATGAAGTGGTATAGGTGGGTGTGAACTTGGAAAGGTATAGATGTGGGAAAGAGTCATTTTGGGTTCCAGAGCAGGAGAAGGCAAACCACTCGGTGATTGAGAACAGGTCACCCAGCTAGAGTGCACAGGAGGCTGTGAGTGAAAAGCCCACTGGGAGGCTATTGAGTGACAGCAGCACTTAAGACAAGGGCCTGGGGCTGGTACAGTGTCAAGGAGAATATAAATGAATGGGTGGATATATGAGATGTTTTGAAAGAAAATGAACAGGCCCTGGAAACTGATTAGATGTGAACAGAGGGGTGTAGGACAAAGGTGGCTCTAGCACTAGTTCCCTTGAAGAAAAATGGTATCAGCAACAAACAAGTGAGTTAAAAGGAGATGCTGCTTTGAGAAAATAGCATGAATTTGGACTTTTTTTCACAGTGAGAACAGTAAAGTGGACATGTATCATTAGCAATTTGGTTCCAAGTTGGAAAAAAGTTGAAATGATAAAAGTAGAGATAGAGGAGTAAACCTGGGTAGTAGCTGCCATTATAGGCACAGGGAATGGAAAAGTTGTCACTGACACAGGAGGCATGCCCTCAAATGCCATGTCCTAGAAGCCATGGGCACAGGAAGTTTCAGACAGGAGAAAGTTATTAATGGTGACAATGATAATATAGGAGTATATTTACTGACATGGGAAGGTGGTCATGCCATATTTTTAAGTGAAAAAATATATGAAATGGTTTACATAGTATGATCCTATTTATGTTTTAAAAGACAACTCACATGTATAGTTCTTTGAACAACACAGGGGTTAGAGACACCACCCCGCCATGTAGTCACAAATCCACATATATGGATTTTTTTCCCACATATTTGGATTCCCAACCATGATTAAAAATACAGTAGACCCTCAAACAACACAGGTTTGACCTGCACAGGTCCACTTATACATCAATTTTTTAAATCCGAGTGTAAGTGGACCTGCGCTTTAAATCGGTGTAAGTGGACCTGTGCTGTTCAAACCTGTGTTGTTCAAGGGTCAACTATATACATTTGTACAGGCATCAGTGAAGAAAAATATCCAGCACGATCTTCTATATATATGTTTTATTGGGTTTTTAGAGAGAGAAGAAGGAAGAGGGAGAGAGAGATAGAAACATTGATGATTGATTGATTGGCTGCCTCCTGCACACCCCCTACTGGGGATAGGGCCCACAACCTGGGCATGTACCCTGACTGGGAATTGAACTGGTGACCTCTTGCTCCATGAGTCAGTGCTCAACCACTGAGCCATATCAGCTGAGCTCCAGCAAGATCTTAATAACGGGTGTTGGGATTTCCAGGGATTTTTAAATTAATTTTTGCTTGCCAATATCTTACGATGTTTCTATAATGATTATACATTACTTATCTATGTCGTCAAAATTAAAGCATTCACATTGTCAGGAAAATACATACAGGAGTGGCCCTAGGATTTGGCAGCCATCAGTCAAGTGTATTTGGAGAACATGTCAGTAGCATAGTAGGGAGAAAAGCTAGATCACAAAAATGTTCAGGAAAGACCAGCTATGGTGAGAATAAGAATGTGGTCAACTTCAGATTGGTCGTGTAACCAGTTCTTCTGCCTAAAAAACAGGTAGGAAGCAGCAGAAATCAGGAGGAAATGTTTTTTCAAAATAGGGTGGCCATTTGGAAAGATAATATGAAAAACTGAAAATGCTAGAGAGGGAAGGTAGGGCTACATGGAAGGAAAGTCCTTCCTGGGGGTTAATCTGGAAATGCAAAGGAGAAATTGGGTCTTTAAGCCTTGAGAAGAGGAAGGATGTTCCTCGCCATAAGGCTGAAGGCTGGATGAGAGACTAGACTAGCTGAAGCCTGTGGTGTTAGAATGAGAGAACATACAGCAGGCCCTGACCTCAGGCAAGTAACCTATTTTCTGGGAAGCAAAAATGAGGAACCAACAGAAGAGCTAGACCCTGTGTAGTCAGACTGGGGCTACAGGAGAACCAAGGAAGGAGAGATTGCTGCTGGTTTTTGGTTCAGCAGGGCAGACCTCCTGGGGAAGGTGTGCTAGGTGCCATTTCTTCACTTTCCTAGTTTCCCTAGATTCTGCCCTTAGCCTTCCTGTCACCCTTCTCTGACCTGGGCCCCCAGTCCTTTAGTGTCCCCCACTTAGGTACCCTGGCCCTGTATCCTCAGGTACATTATCTGCAACACCCCATTGCCCTGTGGTGCGGCCTCAACCACTCCCTGGTGCTGAGCCAGGGCTTGGACTTCAGCAAGGAGCTGCTGGGCTGTGGCTGTGGGGCTGGAGGCCGCCTCCCCGGCTGGCCTAAGGGGAGCGCCTCCTTCGTCAAACTCCACGTTAAGGTCAGAGCAGGATCAGTTGAACGGGCAACCAGGGAGGGCTGGTAGCCCACAGGATTGTAGCTGGGGCTCCTGCAGGGGAACCAAAGGGTCCCATTTCCCCAGTATCACCCACCTCCCTTTTCTGCCACGCACCATGGTTCCTGGCTCTCTCCCTCAGTAGATCCTGCTGGCCCTCTCTGACCTCACACAACCTTGGGGCTCAGCCAGCCCACTCACTTGCTGGCTCAGGGCTGGTCAAGTGGGGCTTCGTGGAAACCCCTCAGTAAAGGCCACACTCAGCCATGCCACTTCTCTCTTCCAAGGTCCCTTTGTGTGCCTGCTCCCTCTGCTCTACCAGAGAGTGTCTCTACATGCTGTCCAGCCATGACATTGAGCACCATCCTGCCTACCGAGACCTACCAGCCAGCAAAGTGGTGGGGACCCCAGAACCCAACCCAGGGTCTGGAGTACTCCAGGACCCTGGGGGGACAGCTTGGGCCTGTAAGGAGTACCTCAGCCAGATCCACAGTTGCCCCACATTGCAGGACCGCATGGAAAAGATGAAAGAGATCGTGGGCTGGATGCCCTTGCTGGCTGCACAGAAGGATTTCTTTTGGGAGGCTCTGGACATGCTACAGAAGGCTGCTGGAGGGGTTGGCCAAGGCCCCCCAACCCCTGAGAGCTGACCCCACCCCCTCTCCTAGTCTCCCCCCTGGAGGGAGAGTCTGGCTTTGTGCCAAAGGCTAAGGAGGGATGGAATGGTAGCAATGAACACTGTAAAAGGAAAGGGGGACACAGTGGAGTGGGGGCTGCTAGACATGCCAGGGTGGGGAGGGAACTGTTTTGTAAAATATTATGGGGGCTGCTCAGGAAGGGCCTCCAACCTTGCTATCATGGACAAGAGATTTGACGGACAAATAGAATAAAAGGCTGAAGTGAGGCCCGGTTTGGAACCCTGGAGCCTGGGAGGACAATAGGGCAGGGGATGGGGGACCAATGCCTGGCTCAGTGGGTGAGGGAGAGCCAGGAGCATGGACGGGCAGGCAGAGCAGAAGCTGCTCAAGCTTTCAGGCTCTGCAGAGCTGGCAGCACATGAATCCTTCAGCTTGCTTTCTTCTTCCATTCCCAAGATCTGACCCAGTCTTCTTGACTGGAAATCCTAGCTCCACCTTCTGGAACAATTCAGTCAACCAATGCTACTTGGTGCTCCCACTTGGATCCTCTTATTCCCATCCTGAGGAAGCCACTTCCAACTTCAGACAGCTTTCTATCCATTTTCCCTCATCCATGTAAAGTCAACCTCCCTCCTCTCTGCCTTCTGTATATCCTCCAGGTCTGGTCTCACATGTCCTTTTCCCCTTCTTTCAACACCATCCTCCTCTTCCTCCAGAAAGGAGACACTATCCACATGCCATCCCTCCCACACCCATACCTCCAGATAATTTGAGAGAAAATTCGTGAGCAGAATTTGTTTATCCTTCACCTAGTTTGGCCCAGGGATAGAAAGAAAACAGACATTTGAAGTAGAAAATAAGTTGGAGCAGGTGGTGGTCAGGAAGAGGGTGAATGCTTAAAGGTTGGGAGTCCAGGAAAGGACTTCCTCTGGGTGCTAAGGAAGCAGCAATGGAGGGGATCATGAGTGGGCTAGAGAGTCCTCAGGTAGAACTAGACTCAGCAGTTTTGAGCCTGTGGGTCATGACCCCTTTGGGGGTTGACCAACCCTTTCACATCGAAAAACACACATTTTCAATGGCGATTCATAACAGTAGCAAAATTACAGTAATGAAGTAGCAATGAAAATATTTTATGATTGGAGGTCCACCAGAACATGAACTATATTAAAGGGTCACGGCAATAGGAAGGTTGAGAACCACTGGACTAGAGACTGTGCTCACAGGGTGCTTGGGCACTGGACAGAATGGGCTTCTAGATGACATTACTTGATGCCTGATTATGGCTGAGGGCCTGATGCTCCCTCCGCCCTTCATTGCTCCACCCACTACTTAGGTCAATATTTATGTGTCCTATACCTAGAGAGGCCCCTGGACTCAACACTGTCCCTGCCTTACTCTCCCTGTCCCGCCTTCCCCACCGCCCTCCCCACTGGCCAGTCCCCACGCCCACACACCCGAGGCTGCCTCATCTGGCACCGATTATCCCTGCTGCTGCTGCCGCTGCTGCTGCTAAACTCAGCTGCTGCCTCTGTCTTGAGGACCCCAGCGCCTCTCCCCCCAGCCATGCTGCCTGCTGCCACAGCCTCCCTCTTGGGGCCCCTCCTCATTGCCTGGGCCCTGCTGCCTTTCACCCAGGGCCAGACCCCCAACTATACCAGGTAGGTCTCTTGGCACCTTTCAGTTAGCTTGAGTGAGCTTCAAAAGCCAATTCCTGAGGGGCTATGCTTATGGATCTTGTAGATTCTTTTGCTAACACATCACCCCCAAGATCTCCCACAGTCCCTACCCTTCTCTGGCCCCCAAGTCTCAAGTCCGTCCATCCCTGCTGCAGTACACTGTCTCCTGTAGGTCACCACTGCTCCCCATTTCTTCAACCTCTGTCCTCTGCCTTCTAAGTCTCCCTATTCACCCAGACCCTTGGCCCCCTCCATGGAACCTGAGAAAGCCAAGACCTTGAACTTGCCTGGTAGCTGGACATCTGGATTCCAGGAAGGAATTAGAGATTATGGGGAAAATCAGGGGCAGCAAGTGGGAGACTTGGGAGTCAGATACTCAAGGAGTTAGCTGGAACTGGAGCAGAGAAAAGGTTGAGAGCTCAGGGAGCCTGGTCTCCAGGTTCAATTTGAGGGCCATCACTGCTGCTTCTTCCTCAACTCTCCGCCTCCTCCCCCGCACCGCCTCGTGGCTGTGTCTACATCTGGAAGTAGTTAGGCAGCTGCTGTGGACTGCCTGGCAGTGTGAGGCGGGAGAGTAAGAAGGGGGGCCGAGGAGGATTCCGGATTCCGGGAATTCCTGTTGGGTTGGGGGTGGGGACTGGGGGTTGGAGATATAGTCAAGTTGCTGGCCCCACTTTTTCCTGATCCTCTACTACAGTGTTTCCCACCTCAATTCCATCTTGACTGGCTGAGGCTGTTCCAGATCTCTCAGGCCTTTCTCCCCCATCCCCCAGGCTTTCCTCCCCTACCCATGGCTGACCCCTCTTCTGTCCTCCAGACCTGTGTTCCTGTGCGGAGGGGATGTGACTGGGGAGTCGGGTTACGTGGCAAGTGAGAGTTTCCCCAACCTCTACCCGCCCAATAAGGAGTGCATCTGGACAATAACGGTGAGAAGGCCCCTCTGGTCACTACTCCTTGTCAAAGTCTCCAAGGCCTTGATCCAGGCAACCAAAGGCCCTCCTCCAATATCACTACTTCTCCCAGGGAAAGTCCAAGCCCCCTCCCCTCTGGTCACTGATGGTATCAGTGTCCACAGTAATACGTGGCAAATGCCCTCACTCTTAATCCTATTCCAAAGCCTGTTACTCCATTCCCAGCTTCATTTCTGCCCCCTGCAATCTATCCACAGACCTCAAATCTTGTCCCCAGCATGTCACAAGCCTGATGTAGAGCCCATGCCCTCTGCTCTGCACCCTGATGGGGTCCCTTCATGTTCAGGCCCAAGTTTCTCTAGGAAATGCTTGGGGAAAGGGAAGTGCCTTCTGCCTGGGTTGTGTATAACCTGACTTTGCAGTTCCCTGTCCCTGTCTTTGCAATCAGGTTCCTGAAGGCCAGACTGTGTCCCTCTCCTTCCGAGTTTTCGACCTGGAGCTACACCCAGCCTGCCGTTATGATGCTCTGGAGGTCTTTGCCGGGTCTGGAACTTCGGGCCAGCGTCTCGGACGCTTCTGCGGGACTTTCAGGCCGGCGCCCATAGTCGCCCCAGGCAACCAGGTGACCCTGAAGATGACAGCGGACGAGGGTACTGGAGGACGAGGCTTCCTGCTCTGGTACAGTGGGCGGGCCACCTCAAGCACTGGTGAGATCTCCCTCATCTACACCTTCCCCTTTTCCTGGCCCCGCCCTGACAAGGCCCCGCCCCCAGCCTTAACCTCTACCCCAAGAGCCTAGGTCCCCATTGCCTCCCTTTCCCTTTTTCCTCACTAACTGCCCCTCCAGTCCCTCCTCCTCTTCTTCTCTCCCCTCTCCCGCTCCCACCCACCTCCCTCTTCCAGGCCCCACCCCAGGCGCGAGGCGGAAATGGGTCACGGACCCGCGGGTGGAATGGGCGGCCTGGGGTTACTGGGACGGTGAGTAACTGCCCGCCCCCATCCGCAATCGGGCTCCCTCTGACCGGCGCGAAGGGGCACCCCCGGGAAGGAGGACCAGGTTCCTCCGACCCAGTGCCCTCTACACCCAGCCCGGGGCACCCGATTGCGGTCCCATCACCCCCTCCTGGCAGCAGAAGTCTCCCCTAAAATGTTTAAGGCAGGGACCTCACAAAGGAGCCTAGTGGGCTCTGCCCCAATTTGAGTGGATCCTCACAGCGTGAGGACTCTCCAGCCTGCTAAAGGGACTTCTCTGCCGGGCGGGGGAGATGGGATCTACCAGGGGATGAGGAACCGTGTGGCAGCGGGTCAGGGGGAGGGGCAAGAAGGGGCGAGTCCAACCAATTCCTCCTCCCCCTTCTACCGCCTGCCTGGGCTCCTGGGAGGTCCTAGACTTCCCTGTGCCTCGCTCCTCCTCTGCTAACCTACCCACCTCTTGCCTTCCCCTCTTCTTGCCCTCTCATTCTGAGACCCCAAAATCCGAAATTCCAGCACAGCTCCCAGCCTAGAGCTCTTCTCAAGCTGACCAAGGGTCTCCACTACCTCCCACCCCTACTCCTTTCTCCCCTCCCTAGAACATCAATTTTGCGGGGGGCGGCTGGAGAAGGCCCAGGGAACACTGACCACACCCAACTGGCCGGAATCTGATTATCCCCCGGGCATCAGCTGTTCCTGGCATATCATCGCACCCCCAAACCAGGTACCATGTCTTCTAGCATGCAGCTAGCAAAGATTTATTGAACATCTACTGTGTCCTAAGCACTGACCTTGTGCTGGTGGGAAGCAAAAACTGACCCAGTGTGCTTGCATGCAAACAAAAAATGTAAAATTACACCTGTGATCAGTGAGGTATCTGATGCTGATAAATTGTGTGTGTATGTGGGGGAGGAGTGTATGTTGGTGGTAGTGATGGTAGAGGTGGTGGAGGAGGTGGATTCTGGATCTATTTCTTAAGAATGAGCCAGGACTTGACTTTGCCCACTCTGGTGGGGGACACTACTGCAAGGTTCCAGTGTATGTGATCCTTCCAGCTGTGGTGTGAATGCATTAAGAGAGCAGAGGCAGAGGGGAGGTGTGAGGAGGCTGCTGCAAGCATCCCCAAGGAGGTAGGTGGAGGAGGTGAGTGGTGCCTAGCAGCCTCTGCCCTCTGCCCTGCTACCAGGTAATCTCGCTGACCTTCGGGAAGTTTGACGTGGAACCGGATACCTACTGCCGCTATGACTCCGTCAGTGTGTTCAACGGAGCCGTGAGCGACGATGCTAAGAGGCTAGGGAAGTTCTGCGGAGACACAGCCCCGGGGTGAGGGGGCGGGACCTCGGTGGGTGGCTGTCTGGGTGTCTCCACTTCCCCAGATGCTGGAGTCTGTTGGGAGGGGAGGGGCTTAGCTGAAGAGGTGGGATCTGAACCCTGATCCCCAAACCAGTGGGTAGAGTAGGTAGGGTACCAAGCTCCTCTTTAGGCCTGTGGTCCTAGGATACAAAGGTGAGTGGGGCCTATGAAGTCTGAAAGCTAATGCAGCCACCTGGTGGTTGTGGGGGAGAGGGTAAGAGGTTAAAAGGCCAATGGCCTGGGTAGAGGCAGGGGTGCAGGCCCCCTTGATGCCTCTCCCAATGCCTGGCCACTGTCCGCAGTCCCATCTCCTCCGAAGGGAATGAGCTCCTCGTCCAATTCGTCTCGGACCTCAGCGTCACTGCCGATGGCTTCTCAGCCTCATACAGGACCCTGCCAAGGGGAGCCGCACCCAAAGTCAAGCCTGAACCCCCACCTGCAGAAAAACCAAAAGCCTCTCCTGAGACCAAGGCAACTCCCGTGGGCCCTGGTGAGTCTGGGAAGGAGGAGGAAGGGGATGCAGACTGAAGGAGCTGTTATCAAAGAGTTCCTGGGCTCATTCATTCATCCATACAACACTCACTGGTGCCACCTCTGTGCTAATAATGGCTGGTACTTGGTGCTGGGAAACAAAGCTGGATAGAACTCTGAACAAGTTCAAATCAATGAGGCTGTCATGGAGAAAGTAGTCCTTCCTACCTGCTGGGTAGATTACCCTCCACAAACAATGTCCCCCTTCCCCTCCCCCTCCTAGATGCACCCAGTGTCACCTGCCCAAAGCAGTGCCGGCGGACAGGCACCTTGCAGAGCAACTTCTGTACCAGCAACCTGGGTAAGAAGCCTCATTCACGTGCTCTGCCCTTCCAGATCCTCTAACTTTCCCTCCTGTCCCCAAAGTGCCCCTTCCTTCTGGTTCCAGCCCTGCCCTGGCCTCCAGTCTCCTCACCTCTCAACCTCACTCTCCTACAGTGGTGACCGCAACAGTGAAATCCATTGTTCGGGGCCCAGGGGAGGGCCTGACTGTCACCGTCAGTCTCATTGGTGCTTACAAAAATGGAGGCCTGGATCTGCCCTCTGCACCCACTGACACCTCCTTGAAGTTTTATGTGCCCTGCAAGCAGTGCCCCCCCATGAAGAAAGGTAACAGGGATGCGGGGTAGAGGAGAGGGATACTTAGCTTCATGGAAATGATAGAAGTGATAGAATAAGAGGGGCTCAGATGAGGAGGCACATCTTCAAAGTATATAACATGAGTTCTCAATCTCTCCCTCCTCTCCTCCAGGAGCCAGTTATCTGCTGATGGGCCAGGTGGAAGAGAACAGAGGGCCCATCCTTCCTCCAGATAGCTTCGTGGTTCTTTACCGGCCCAACCAGGACCAGATCCTCACCAACCTAAGCAAGAGGAGGTGCCCCTCCCAGCCCATTCGGGCTGCTAGGTCCCAGGCCTGAAACCCAAGCCAGCCTTGAGCCTTGGCCCTAGGGACCCATTTTTTATCCAAATAAATATTCCTTGTCTGAGGAAGGGGTCACATATCCATTTCTATGGTTTTGGTGCCCATCTTGGGGATTTCTTTTCAGTCATTCATTAAACTCAACAGGTATTTACTATATAGAATAATCTTTTAAGAACCTAAGTTGGATCTTGTCACCACTTTGTTCAAAACTCCTCATATTCTCCACACACACAATGGTAACTATTTAGAGGTGATGGATATATTAATGAGCTTGATTGTGATAATCTTTTCACAATGTACACAATCCATCAAGTTATAGACCTTAAATATATATAATTTTTATTTCAAAGATACCTCAAAGCTATTAAAAAAGAAATCTTAAATACTCTCCTACAGTTTTCCATCAGTCTTAGAATAAAATCCAATACTGTGGGCTCAAAGGCTTTCTAGATTATCTGCATCCTTCATCCCCCCACCCCATCGTCTCTGATTATTATCTCTCTTAAGACCATTGTTCCAGTCACACTGGCTCCTTGACCATTTCTAGTACACTGGCTTTGCCTATGCTATTCCCTCTATCTGGGATTCTTTTCCATAGATAGCTCATGGCTCAATTCCTGACTTCAATCAGATCTCAGCTCAAAGTTCATTCTAGTTAGTCATTTGTTCATTCCAAATGGCAGGCATTAGCCCTGGCCAGGTAGCTCAGGTGGTTAGAGTGTCCTACCAATACACTAAGGTTGTGGGTTCGATCCTTGGTCAAGGTTCATACAAGAATCAATCAATGCCCGGCTGGCATGGTTCAGTGGATTGAGCAGCATCCCGTGGACTGAGAGGTCCCAGTTCAATTCTCAGGCAAGGCACATGCCCAGGTTGTGGGCCAAATCCCCAGTGGGGGGCATGCAGGAGACAGCCAATTGATGTTTCTATCTCTCTCTCTCCCTCCCCCTTCCTCTCTCTCTAAAATCAATAAAGAACAAATTTTTCTTTAATAAAAAGAAAAAGCCAGTAAAAACATTTTTAAAAAAGAATCAACCAATGAATGTATAGTGGAACAACAAATCAATGTTTCTCTCTAAAATCAATAAATAAAAATAAAACAGCCCTAGTCAGTTTGGCTCAGTGGTTGGAGCTTCGGCCTGCAGACCAGAGAGTCCCAGGTTCAGTTCCCTCTAGGGGCACGTACATAAATAAATAAATAAAAATAAACAAACAAACAAATAAATAAATAAATAAAACCTGTTTTAGGCACCAAAGGTACAACAAGAAGTCCCTGTTCTTGTGGAGCAACGATAAATGGTAAAATAAAAATAAGGACAAGTAGCTCTGAGCGCTATGAAGAAAACAAAAGCATGATTAAAAGGACAGACAAAGGGGGAGTCTACATTAGATAGGGTGCTCAGGGAAAGCTTTCGGATAAGATCTTTGTTTGCGCCACTGCTAACCAATTGTGTGGCCTGGGCGGAGACTGTTCACTTTGCTGAGGTCTTGTCTGTAAGTTGAAGATTCCGACTGATGATGTAATGGCAGGGTTAGTAAATCTTAATTTCCTGTGTACATATGAATGATTTCCGAGTTCCCGTGCTGAAAAGAGAGAATCAGGAGAGGAACCCAGGGCTGAGACCCGAGTCCAACTGGGAGTAACCTCCAACAAGTACTGTAGAAAACGGCTTCTGTTGCTCCGGAGGCTTCTAGAAGAGCTTGGGATTGAAGTGGAGAAAGAGGGCTTCTTTGTAGCATGTGATTCTAGAGATTTGGACGGTCTCAGCGTCGGGGTGGAAAGAACAAAACCGGCCCGGGTCTTTCAGAGTAATATAGGGCTACAGTTCTAATCAAAGACACCAGTAAAGTTTTCTGTCACTAGTAGTCAATCCCCTCTTTAAGCGCACCAATCGGCGTTTACTTATGGCGGAAACGAAGCCACTCTGGCCAATGACAGAAGCCATATGGCGGAAGTGCAGAACCGGTTTCTTGGGCAGATGGCAGCCTTGGTCTGGCCACAAACTGATTGACAGGTGCTGTGACCAGAAGGTGAGCGTCGTAGCTCGAGCGCCGATCGGAGGCGGAAGCCCAAAGAAGCGCGGGCTCGAGCTCAGGGAGGGGTCGGAGGCACAGATACAGGTCTCTGTGGGGCAGGCGGCGGAAAGGGCAGCTTGGGAGGGGAGGAGACCGCGGGGACAGGAGGAGTCTGGTCTGAGAGAGGGGCGGAACCCTAGACGCCCAGAAGGGGCGGGGCCTAGTGGAGCGGGTCTTTTGGAGGTGTTGAGCCTAGCCTAGAAACCCAGTCGGGGGTTGGGAGCTTCAAGGGGCCGGGTTTACCTGGTGGGCGTGACCATCGAGGTGGTACTTTTGGGCTAGGCTAAAGGGAAGGGCCAGAGCTGGAAGAGGGGAGGATCCCGGAGGTATGAGCCTGGTCTGTCCGAACCGCATCTAGTAGAGTTCCAAGGAGGAGGCGGCGGTGGCAGCGGCGGCGGTGGCAGCGGCGGCAGCGGCAGCATCGACACCGACACCCACATCGGCATCGGCATCGGCATCAGTCCAGGCTGGCCCCACGATCTCATCTGTTCCCTTTTGCTCCTCTCGCCCACCAGCTCTAGACTCCAGGCCCTGTCCCCCGAGCTCAGCCCTCGGATGTCCCACCGCCCAGAGCCTGCATGCGCCGCGGGGCGCCCCAGGAGCAGGAGCTGGTGGGTCCGGGGGCTCCTGGGCGGGGATCCCGGGGCGCCCCTCCTCCCTCGGGACCTGTTGTCCCGGTCCTCGTCTTTCCCCCGAATCTAGTGTTCAGGGCGGACCAGCGAAGCGGACCCAGGCAGCTGCTGACCCTCTATAACCCCACAGGAACCCTGCTTCGCTTCCGAGGTGAAGAGATGGGCCCCTCATTCTAGGGGTCTGGGGGCTGGCAGCAGGACACTGGGGGTGTCAACTTAAGAAACATTCAAACTTATAGAGAATTTCCGTGAGTTTACTGGAGCCAAACTGTTGACGATTGCCAGGAAGCAAAAATCTCAACAGATTGAGATAGTGTTCCAGAGAAGGACAGTTTTGTACCTTATTTTATATATTACAATCAAAAGAGAAGATGCAAATGGGTTCCATGAAATCTGTTGGTGGTAGATTAGGGAGGAAAGCAAAGCAGGGAAACCTCTGGGATTGGATGAAAAGTAAAATGATATACACATAAATCTTTTACATAGGTGGGTATCAGATAGTTAAGAGTCAACAATTAACATGATAACCATAACAATGAGAGGATTTATGGTCTCCACCCTACTGCATTGGTTGTGCCCTGAGAGGTCTGGAAAAGGGGAGTTAACCTGACATTCCAAATGAAAGTTACCACAGATGCAAAAGACAATAGACAGGCTTAGTTAAGGTAAAGATTGACTTTAGTCAGGGAAGATTCCAGCCTAGGACATAACTCTGTGCCATAAACTGCTTTTAGTTAAAAAGTTTTCATTTCAGTCCATCCTATGTGGTTACTTTAGGTCTGTCTCTGAGTCTACAAGGCTTCCTCGAAGGCATTCCCTGAGCTTGTCAGGTTAGCCTGTGGTCCCTTTTCGTCCACAGGGGCCTGTGTGGGCTGGAGGAGTCAGATGAGTATGGTCAGATGTCCAGCCTTAGTGGACTGGAAGAGTCATGTTCAGCCCTAGAGGTAGAATGCAAGGGGGACTTTACTGTCCCTTCATGGAAAAAGTTTATGTAGGGTCTCAAGCAATAGTTGGTTTCTCTGTGCCTTATCCCCCAGTCCTGTGCACAGCACCTGCCAAATACACAGTGTTTGACGCAGAAGGATACGTCAAGCCTCAGTCCTGCATTGACATGTGAGTCGGGAGGATGGGGAAGCTAGAGGTTGCTGCTACCTTTCTCTGAAAAACTGAGCCATGGTCTATGGTCTCAGACCTGGCTGGTCCTCTTCAACCTTTTTCCCCAACCCTCTGTCTGCAACCCTATTGGAAAGTTTCCTGGGAGGGTGGGGCCTGCACTCACTTGGATCATTGACTCTCACTTATTTCCTCTCAATGGACCTCTTTCCCATCTTGGGACCAGTGTGATTCGCCACGTGGCCCCCATTGCCAGACACTATGATATCCAGGACCGCTTCCGAATTGAGCTGTCTGAGGAGGGAACTAAGGGCCGAGTGTTGGGGCGCAAAGACATCACCTCGGTTTTGAGGGCCCCAGCCTACCCCCTTGAACTTCAGGGACAGCCTGACCCAACACCCCACCCAGGGCCTCCTTCCTGGACATCACCACCGAGGACCAGACTCCACGAGAGTGAGTTGGGGGATGGGAATTCTTGAGTTATGTCGGGAGGGTGGTACTAGCATTACCCTAGAGAGGAGCTCAGTTGGAGTTGCAGAGGTCTTCTAGTTTAGTCTTTTGCTTTTTTGTGTGAAAATATTCTTAGGAGTTGAGATTTTATATCAGGTTAGGGAATAAGCAGATTTTGCTGTTTCCCTGGTTTCTGGCTTCCACTTAGATGGAAAAGTTCTTTCTTAGCTTTAACTTCAATACTTTCTATCATATGCCAGCTCAGTTCAGTTCCATAAGAAACCTGTACTGAGCAATTATGCCACATCAAGCTGTATGCTGGGTCTGGGAGAAGGAGTTCCCTGCCTGACAGACAGGTACACAGAAACCAGTAATCAGGCAGAATGAAGAGAGAAAAAGAATGCTGAGAGACCAGAGGAGTGAGGATTTCTTATGGCTGTGGAAACAGGCTCCAGGGGGGAAAGGACACTTACATTGTGCCCTTGGAGGGCAATAAAAACTAGATACACCTTCCATCTTCAGCCTTTCCCAGGAGGACCTTGGGTTGGGGAGGAGTTGGGGCTGGAGCTTCTGACAAGCCTTGTTTCCCAGAATCCCACCCACAACTGGCCACCAGTTCCTTCCTCCTGTTCTTGCTGACGGGCATAGTCTCGGTGGCCTTCCTGCTGCTCCCACTCCAGGATGAACTCGGCAGCCAGCTGCCCCAAATCCTGCATGTCTCGCTGGGACAAAAGTTGGTTGCAGCCTACGTCTTGGGTGAGCACAGTAGTGTCGAGGGTTTCTGGGCCCCAGAGAAGGAGGGGTAAAGGGCTAGGAAGAGGGCTTCCAGAGCTCCAAGGCTGCTCATTTGACCTTATTCTTTCTTTCTCCCCTATCCAGGCCTCCTCACCATGGTCTTCCTCCAGACCTGAGCCCCCTGCTCAACCTCAACGCCCTTCCCCGAGCAGGGATGTGGACAGGAAACAGCCACTGTGATGCTCATACCTTGCCTCAATTCCTACTCCTTCCTGCTACTCCTTCCACCCCCAACAAAAAAATACCGAGGGATTTGTATTCATTTTCCAAGTTGAATAAAATACATTTGCAAAATTAAACTGAGAAATGTAGGGAACATGCCCCTTTCTTCATACTTCTTTTTCTCTAGTTCTGGGGATGCACTGAAAAAATTATGACCTTGAGCAAGTCCTTTAATTTCTCTGAGCTTCAGTTTCTACCTCCTAAATGAGGGAATTGAGAAAGTTGACTCTACCCCCCTCAACTTCCCACCCCTGCCCCTTTGTCAACATCAGCCTGTACTCTATATCTAATGGGTCTGTTTCTGTTTTGTTTATTCACTTGTTTTGATTTTTAGATTTCACATAAAAGTGAAATACACTATTTGTCTTTGTCTGACTTATTTCACTTAGCATAAAGCCCTCTGTGTCCATCCATGTTGTCACAAATGGCAAAGTTTCATTCTTTTATGGCTGAGTAATATTGTAGTGTATGTGTGTGTATACATATATGTCACATCTTTATCCATTTATCTATTGATGGATACCTAGGTCACCTCCATATCTTGGCTATTTTAAAGAATGCCGCAATGAACATAGGGGTACATACATACTTTTTAAATTATTGCTTTTGTTTTCTTCAGATAAATACCCAGAAGTGGTATTGCTGGGACACATGGGAACTATTTTTTTTTGGGTGGGGGGGGGATCTTCATAGTTTTCACATAGTGGTTGCACCAAGTTACAATCTCTAGGAAGGCTGATTCTTTTATTTATGTATGTATGTATTTATTTATTTAGTAATCCTCACCTGAGGATATTTTTCTATTTATCGTCCGATAGAGTGGGAGGGAGAAAGAGAGAGAGAAACATTGATGTGAGAGACATATCAACTGGTTGTCTGCCGCACTACCTGATCAAGGCTGGAATGAACCACAACCAAGGTACATACCCTTGACCGGAATCGAACCTGAGACTCATTGGTCTGCGGGCTGACGCTGTAACTGCTGACCCAAACCAGCCAGGGCTTTTTAATTATTTTATTTTATTTTTTTATCCTCACATGACATTTTTTTCTCATTTTTTATTTAGACAGAGCGGGAGGGAGAGAGAGAAAGAGAAACATTGACGTGAAAGGGACACATCGAGTGGCTGCCACCCACACCACCCAACGAGGGGTGGGGACAAACTGCAACCGAGGTACATGCCCTTAATGGGAGCCGAACTCGGGTCTCTCTGGACCACAGACTGACACTCTAACCGCTGAGCCAAACTGACCAGGCCCTTTTTAATGATTTTAGAGAGAGAAACATCAATGAGCTGCCTCCTGCACACCCCCTATTGGGAAACGAGCCTGCAACCCCGGCATGTGCTCTGACCTGGAATCAAACCAGCAACCTCTCAGTGCATGGGATGACACTCAACCAACTGAGCCACACCAGCCAGGCAAAAGATGATTCTTTTTTTTTTATCCTCACCTGAGGACATTTTTCCATTTTTTGTTCAGATAGAGCAGGAGGCAGAGAGGAAGAGAGAGAGAGAAACATTGACATGAAAGGGACACATCGAGTGGCTGCCTCCCACACGACCCAACCAGGGCTGGGGACCAACTGCAAACACAGTATATGCCCCTAGCAGGGGGCTGAACCTGTGTCTCTCTGGACCGCAGGCTGATGCTCTAACCGCTGAGCCAAACCAGCCAAGGCAAAAGATGACTCTTTTTTTTGTTTGTTTGTTTATTTTTTATTGATTAATTTTTGTTACAGATGTTTCTCCTTTTTCCTCCACTGATTCCCCCCTCCCCCTCCCTCCCTGCCCCTTCTCCAGATTGTTGTCCATGTCCACTGTTCATGCATACATGCATATAAGTTCTGTGGTTCATCCCTCCCCCACCTCCCCACTCCTTAGGGGATTGTCAGTCTGTACCCCGCTTCCGCGTCTCTGGAGCTACCCCATTCCTCAAACTGTTATGTTCATTATATTCCACAAATAAGTGAGATCATATGGAACTTGTCTTTCTCTGTTTGGCTTGTTTCACTTAGGATGATACTTTCAAGGTCCCTCCATGTAGTCTCAAAGGATAAGAAATCTTTCTTTCTTACCGCTGCATAGTACTCCATTGTGTATATGTACCACAGCTTTTTGATCCATTCGTCTACTGATGGACACTTGGGCTGTTTCCAGATCTTAGCGATTGTAAATAGTGCTGCTACAAAGATGGGGGTACATATATTCTTTCTGATTGGTGTTTTAAAAAGATGACTCTTAAGATTCCCTTTAGCGCCCTGGCCGGTTTGGCTCAGCGGTTGGAGCATCGGCCTGCGGTACAGAGAGACCCGGGTTCGGCTCCCGCTAAGGGCACGTACCTCGGTTGCAGTTTGTCCCCAGCCCTGGTTGGTCGTGCGGGTGGCAACCACTCGATGTGTCCCTTCACATCAATGTTTCTCTCTCTCTCTCTGTTCCTCTCTCTCCCTCCCACTCTGTCTGAACAAAAAATGCAAAAATGTCCTCGGGTGAGGATAAAAAAAAAGATTCCCTTTAGCCCTATAAAATAGGATCCAGTCCCTGCCCTGGCTGGTGTCGCTCAGTGGTTAGAGCATGGGCCCACACACCAAAGGGTCATGAGTTCAATTCCCAATCAAGAGCCCATTCCTGGGTTGCAGGTTTGATCCCTGACCCTAGTCGGGGTGCAAGCCGGAGGCAACCAATCAATGTGTCTCTCTCACATTAATGTTTCTCTCGCTCTCTTTCTCCCTCCCATCTAAAAATCAATGCAAAAAATATCCTTGGATGAGGATTAATAACAACAACAAAAATACTACCTGCTGTAGAGCTCAAGTCTCATTGTCTTGAGCCATTGGAGCCCCTTGCCAGGGATGCCTGGATACTGCCAATCCCCAGAATCCTCTTCTGACTTTTTGTCCCTTTATCTGCTTTTATTTTGTCTCTTCCTTTGACTTCAACTTGCATGGATCAGAAACACCAAGGTTTTCGAGGATGGGAGGAAATAGCATTGCCTAACATAATCTGAAGTTAGCCAGGCAGGAGATACGAACGCACAGTGAAAGAATAGGATCCTCAAAAGGCAGGCTTCAAGTCCTCCTTCAGATGCAGGGTAAAGGAGAGGAAAGAGGAAGGGGCATCTAGCATCACTGGCAGATTTTTGCTCATTGACAATGTTAAGATAATGTTAAGAAAGATTCAGTCTAGCCTGGCTGGTGTGGCTCAGTGGTTGAGTATCGACCCATGCACCAAGAATTCACTGGTTCGATTCCCAGTCAGGCCACAGGCCCAGGTTGTGGGCCAAATCCCCAGTGGGGGGCATGGAAGAGGCGGCCAATTGATATTCTCTCTCATCCATGTTTCTATCTCTCCCTCTCCCTTCCTCTCTCTAAAACCAATAAAGAAAAAATAATTTTTTTTAAAAAAAGACTCAGTCTGTTATGCTGCTGGAAGATTCAGTAGTTCCAGCTTTACTTTGGGGGCCTTGGGAGCTGCCCCACTGCCCAGGGAGTCTTGTTCCTCCCAGACTCACATCTGGCCTAGTGTGCAGAGAATGGTTTTACATTCTGCCAGGAAGTGTGGGAGGGCTCTTGCCATGGCCCAGCAAATCCCTCAACAATTACCCGTGGTAACCATTCATACTGGGTTTTTGTGCCCAGGTCTCCAAAATGCATTTTAGGTATCAAACACTAATGATCCTGCTGGTATTTGATGTGAAAATGTTTTGGTGTTGGTGGGATCAGGAAGGCTTTCTGGGACACAGCTATGAAGCTGTAGGAATGGGAGGATCTTGGGAAACTGACTTTTATTTAAGCAAATTTTTTATACAACTACTTGCAGAAATTTGAGTGGGTGTGTATTAGTTTTCTGTGTTTGCTCTAAGAATTTATCTCTAATTTAAAACAACACAAATTAATTCTAAAGTTCTAGGAGTCCAAAATCCAAAATACGTTTTCTGGGGATAAAATCAAGATGTCAGCAGGGCTGCCTTCCTTCTGAATGCACTAGAGGAAGACGTTTACTTGCCTTTTTCTAGTTCTTAGAGTCTATCTGCATTCATCGGCTTGTGGTCTCTTCCTCCATCTTTCAAGCCTGGTATGGAAATAACAAATAATAATTGTCTTAAGTCACTTTTTAAAAAAATGCCACGTGTGTAGCATTTCCAAATCTCTCTCTGACTCTGACCCTCTGTTTCTGTTGTCATATCTCTTTTCTCTATCTGTGATCTTCCTGCCTCCTTTTATAAGGACCCCAGTGATTCTGTTGTCCCCTTCCCCTAATCCAGGGTAACTTACCTGTGTTAGTTTTCTAGGGCTGCCACAGACTGAAATTTATTTCTTCACAGTTCTGGAGGCTGGAAGTCCAAGATCAAGGTGTTGGCATGTTTAGTTTTCCCTGAAGCCTCTCTCCTTGACTTGCAGACAACCACCTTCTTGCTGTGTCCTCCCAGTCTTTCCCCTGTGTGTGCATCCCTGGTGTCTATGTGTCCAGTTTCCTGTTCTTATAAGGATACCAGTCAGATTGGAATAGGGCCCACCTTAATAGCCTCATTTTAACTTAATTACCTCTTTAAAGGCCCTATTTCCAAATACAAACACATTCTGAGGCACTGGGGGTTAGAGCTTCAACATATGACTTTGAGGGGCACACAATTCAGCCTATAACCCTCCCCATCTTAAGGTTCTCAACTAAATCACTTCTGCAAAATCCTTTTTATTGTGTAAGGTAACATTTGCTCCGTTTTTGGGGTTTTGAATGTGGACCTCTTTGTCCAGACCATTATTCTGTCTAATACTGAGAGCAAATGGACAAGGTGAAGAATGGCTGAGAAGTCGCTTTGGCAGATTTGTTCTGTACTGTGTGTCAGGGAAGCAAATATTCAAGGAGGGTTCTTATCCCCATTCAGTCTCCTGAGATTTCACCAAGTCAGGCTCAGGGAGCTAAGGAAGGGACAGTTTCATTCATGAACCCAAGCCATAGACTAGGAAGTTTTCATGTCCCATATCCTGAGGAATTGGGTAGGACCTCTCATGCCATACTAGGAGTAGGAGAGAACTAAAGATCCTAAGAGGTGGGTCCTGTGATTTCTGCAGCT